CAGGAGTACATCAAACTCAAAGACGCTCTTGCCGCAAATGCTTGGGATGGGCGACAATGAAGCATACTGCACCTTGCTTGTCATTCACGCTGCAAGAAACAAACAAATCCGAGGATCTTTGTTGGCACGCACCAGGGGTGGCCAGCCAGGTTCCCACAACTTCCCTGGCAGTTCAGTTATTCCGCAGGGGTCATAGGACCAGCTGCCCTATATCGAACCCCTCTCGCAGGCGTTGACTGTTCACTATGACTGGGAGGAGTTGTTAACCTCTCTGGGTAGTCAAACTTAGTGTCAGGACAGAGGCCTTATGTGGGTGCAGAGTGGGGCGCACATTAAGCCAGATCGTGCTGGGACTAGTTTTCAAGCTCATCTTGCGAGCCCTTCTGAAAGCATCAGACTCGGGATGTTTAGGGTTTCTCGTGCAGGGTTTGCATTCCTTTCCAGTTCTGTAATGGGGGAATCCGCAACTTCAACTCCCAGCAGTGAATAAGGAACGAAACCACAAGCCTTGCGTTAACCCTTCAGCAGAAGGCCTTTCGAAGACCCACATTGCCTAAACCAATCTCTGCCAGTGGACCCCCGGACAGAAGGTTGCCCTGGTCTGCTGACCAAAGTCCTACAGAGACAAGACTTTCGGTCGAACGCTTCAGCGGTTTAGGATGCCATTTTGGTTTCATGCTTCGAGGCTTCCGTGGAGGTTTCGACTACTCGCGCAGGCAAGGCTCCAGATATCAAGCAAGGGTGAAAGTCAAAACACGTTGGTCATGACAAGCCCCCTTTCTGACATGCCAGAAAGCAGAATGACTAGCAGTACACGATCACCAAACAATGCATGCCTGCGAATAAAGAAAGGCTGCCTCCCCCGACCCCACCCGTAGCAGGATTTAGAAGGTTTAGGTTTGAGATCTCTTGACCAGCTTTGGGGCTATGCAGCGTATGCGTATGAGATCCCACAGGGTCTGCTCAGAGCTTCTACTGCTACGGCTGTCACTTGCATTATTCACATTTTGCATCTGCATCTGACTGCAGATCTCATCGTTCCTTTTAAAAATCGTACTCTGTACTATTGTGGGACGCTTGCCAAGGCAGGCTTCCCCCGCCCCCTGGTGTGTTCGCTTGTTGAATGGGAAGTTGCAGGTGGGAGTGTGGCATCAGACACAGGCTGCCACGCACCAGAGCTTCCATTCTAGTGCGGGATCGCAATTCGGCCTCTTGCACAGTTGCACAGAGAATTTGTGCACGCGCCTGAGCCCTTCACTCCCTACTGCAGTCTTCGAAGGCCACTCTTTCCCTCATGCAGGCTCTCTAAACCCGAAGCCCCTCGAGTCCAGTGGCAACGCGGTGACCTCAACAGGGCTTGGGGGTTCTGGGCCCTGACGGCACCGAGCGATTTCATGTTCAAACGGCGAAATTCTGGCTAACTGGTTAGCAACGAGTGGGGACTGCACAGTTCAGGGGGTGGGCGGATGGGCCGCGGATTCCTCTTTGCAACCTTGAAACTCTTAAACCCCGAAGCTCTTGACACGTTCCGCAGCCATAAGAATTCAGCACAGTTACCAACTCCCTCAACACCGGAAACCTGAACCCACAACTCCCATGCCTCAACCCAGACCTTGCAACCGCCACCCCGCCCCTCGAGTTGATGCGACCACGCTGCGCAGGAGTCTGCTCCCCGACAGAACTTACCTTGCAGCGCACCTCCGAAGGCGTAAGTTCGGGGGCAGGCCTCAAATGCTGAGGGGCTGCTTCAACGGTTCGGTGACTTCCAGGGCGCCAGGCTTTAGGAAGGGGACCCTGAAATAAAACCGCGTGGCGCCTGCGATGCGTCCAAAGGGGTCGCAGACCTTCTGAGGGTGCGTTCGCCTGGGCCAGAAAGGGCCACAGCGGGCTTTTAGGTGGACACCCTAACATTCCTTCAGCCATACTGGCCGCAGCTGCGTCGCCAAGCCTCTACGCTTGTAATTGTAGGGTTCAAACTCTAAAACCTGGGAAATGCTGCTGAGTGTCGGAGACTGCGTCAGAGGTCGACCAGTGGGCGAGAATGGCGGAGGACCTGAGCTTGAAAAGTGCAAAGTCTGCAAAGAGCCTCGGCAGTGAATCAACATAAATCAGCACAACATACGAATCTCGGAGTTGAGGCCTTTGCGGGACTGGATAGGCGAGGGGATTCTGATTGATCAACTTGGCTTCTGAGCACTTCACGCCCAAAACCTTTCTGTAGATACACAACGATTCGCCTTTCCTATAAACATGAGTCGGAGTCGTGTTTCCACACCCTGCCGGCAAACAACAAAAGCCGATCGGCCTGGTTGGTCTTCATCTGGCACCTCCATTTCCTGCAGCTGTCTTGCTTACATAAGCCCAGAAAAGGCTATGGGCAGCGCGTTGTGCTCTACTGCGATTGCCCTCCTGAAGTGCCCCCCCCGTTCAATTTTAAGATTGTAGTCCTAAGGCTGTTGAGAGAATCGGAAGAAGCACTCAGCTTGAGTCTGCAGCCCAACACTCACCTCTTGCCTGTCTACTGCACTCCACACCAAGAAACGACGAGGCATCATAAGGGCAGCAAGTCCGTCCTCATCCTTCTTCGGAGAAGGTGTCGGCGGAGCGAGGCTGCCGTAGCTTTTCTCAGAGGGCAGGAGTTTAAGATGGTTCGGAGTAAGAAAACAACGCTTCGACGTGCTGTTCACGCGCGCGACGGAGCAAGGATGAAGCAGGAGTGACATTAGTTTTTACATGGCAGGCGCAGTACTTTGAGGCTTTGCGACATTGATAAGTCAGGACTGTCGAGCTCTGAGCATATGTGCCGAAAGCAGGCGGGCATCATGAGCATCAGCTGGGAGGCTCTGAGCACCAGCCGGAAGCAGGCGAGCCACCAGGCTGGGTTTCTCTGAGCCTCTGCCATCAGCTGGGTGGCTCTGAGCCCCTGTGTCAACAGCAAGCGAGAATCATGAGAATCAGTCGGGTGGGTTGCTCTGAGACTCTTTGCCAGCATCAGCTGGGGTGTCCTGAGCCTCCGTGCAGCACACAGGCGAGCATCATGCGCAAAGTGGATTGCTCGGATCAGCTGGGAGGCTCGGAGCCCCAGTGTAGGAAGCAGGTGGTCATGAGCATCCGCTGCCCTCGACAGGCACATGCCCAGAACCATCTGAGTGTTTGGGATAAGGGACGCTCGCAGCCCGTGTGAACAAGCAACTTTCCCCCGCTCCCAAACCCCAAAGCGTATTTAAAACCCTGAGACCGTCAAGCCGAAGCCCCGCAGTTCGACAGCTTGAGCCCCCCACGCCGCCAGCCATGCTATCTGAAGCACAGCCTCCGCTGGAGCTTATAGGCTTTGATCTCTTCAGGAACTTTGTTTCAAAACAAACCCGAATCAAGACTAATGTTTCCTCTCTGCACTGGACCGTGTAGGGACCTTCACGGGTTTCTCAACCACTAAGAGCCCGTCCTGCGTAACAGCCCTCCTGGTCCTGGAAGTGGACCTGGCCATGGGTGCGAATCAAAGTTGACAGGTGCAGCCGCTGAACCCTCCGACATCCGTTGGCTCGAAGCATAGTTTTGGTGCGTGCAATCAGGAGATGGCCTGACCCCGCATCTTGCCTTCCTCAGATGTCAGGACAGGTCATGCTAGGCAATACCTGACCTCAACCACAACCCTCAAGAAACACGCGCGTGTCACATTGTATGATGTCTCCCCACCCCAACGACATGCCCTCTGCCCTCCCTATGCTCTCAAACCACACTATAAGCCTTACAAAAGCCCCTCCAGCCCCTCTCCCCTCCCTCCTTTCCCAAGCCAGGGCTCTGGGTCCGATCCGGTGTCGGGCTTCAACTTCGGTGCGGGTGGCTTCGCCATGCTGCCGAAGAGGAAGGCGGTAGGAGGTCCTCACAGCCCATCTCAAGAGCTTCGGGTTTAAGATCTGACTCAAGGGATTCAGGGTCTGAGCCTCGATGGTTGTTATTGTTTCTTCGTCCGACAGTAGCTCGGCCTGCCGTACTACACTGTCTCACTCCAAGCAACATGAACCTTCAAATACCACAACCAAAGCAGCGGAGTGGTTTCCTCTGGCTTTTCCGGGGCACCAGCACAGGCCCTGGCCTGCGCATGTAGCTGGGCCGGTGGAGGATTAATGGACTTGGGCTTCAGGATGCTGGAAGCTCTTAAGTTTAGGCATGGGGTTAGTTGCAGTGGGGCAAGAGCTTGCAAGTCGGATGTCCAATTGGCCGAAAAACGACACAAGAGCTGATTAGGGTGGATGAGTCGTCATGGTCGTCCAGGCTGAGAGCAAAGGCGGCTTGGCTTCTGATCCCCGAGCAAAGAGGTCGGGACCCTGTACATTTTGAGTGTCCACTCACCGGGTCGCAGGGATGACTCACGAGATGCGAAGGAGGAGAATGGGAAAGCGAACCATGACCACAACGAGCTGAAGGAGGAGAGTTCGTGAGGACAGGGTTTTTGAGGTTGAGAGTTGTTCGACCCCTTGGGTTCCGGATCAACACTACAGACCATGCTTGCTTTCTTACTCCGGGGAAGGCGCATGGAGATTGGCAGCAGCTTGCCTTGCATGATGGCCATCGGAACCACTTCTCCGAAGTCAACAGTGCATTATGTGCAATAGTGCTTCCTCTTCAACTTTGCTTCTGCGGACCCCCCGGCTCTTCAGCCAGGAGGGCTTTGCGCAACAATCGCATCAAGGAGCTCAGCTCCACACCCCGGCCTACTGCATCATTCAAGATGCGCAGTGCCTCGACTTTGTGAGCAGGAGGTGTTGCGGAGATCATTCACCGTGCCTTCGGCACTGTGTTCACAAAGGCGAGGTCGGCAGCCCACCCGCGGCGCCCAATGATTGAGCAGACCAGTTCCTCCAAGAACAGCAACGAAGGCTCTACATCGCGAGCAGTCATCTCATTAGCGTAAGGCAAGATGTCATCAAGAGGGCGGCCAGAATGAGAAGCTATCACCAGAGAAAATGTGACCACCGTTGCATTCACGCCCCGTGATTTCATTGGAAAAGGTATGCCGCAGTGTGCGCCTTTCCTGCAATTTTGCATGCGTTAAGGGCCTGGTTCCAATCAAGAACATTGAGAGCTTTGCCCCGGCGCTCCATGTTGTCCAACAGGCTCGCAGCGAACGAATCGTTCCCTGTCTTCGAAACAGCATGCAGCATGGCGCACATGGCCGAACAAGCGCTCTCGTCGTGCTTCCAGAACACCTCTGTTCGGATGTCGTCCCAAAGTCTTAGAACTTCAGCAGACTGCCCGCGCTCGGCGTACAGCCGAATTGCGCAGCAGTAGCTCTTCAGGGTCTTTTTGAGATTGGACTGGTCCAACTTGCGGAAGATGTCGATACCGGTCTTGTACTGGTCACATCGCAGAGCAGCAGCCATGGCGGTGTTGAAGACCACGGCAGTGTTCTGGCATGTTTTCGCAAAGGCAGCATGCACAGCAAACCAGTCCCCTTTACTTGCAGCGGCTCTCATATCTTGCATCAAGGCTTTGTCTTGATCTGGCACATTGTCATCACGGTCGAAGGCTCCAAGCTCGAGGGGAACGTGGTTACCCTCCTTCTCACGTTTGAACGCTTTGCTGATGCCTCCAGGCGAGCTGAAGCACGGCAAAAGTCCAAGAGCTTTCCACAAGTACAGAACACAGAGTACCAGCACAAAGGCCCTGTCAGTTTTGGCAGGCATGTTGTTGGGACTCGGTTGAGCTTGGGTCGTGCCGGTCGTGCAGGGATGGGTGTTCGGTCTAATGCTGGGAAACCAGTGCAGCACACCTAGTTACGACCTTTTGGAGTTGAAGGGTGTGCCGAGAGGAATCTTCGCTCAGACCGCACAAGCGGCCACACAGATGATGGTAAGGCATGGTAAGGCTACGGTGAAGCGGTGCAACAAGAATTGAAAACAACTACAACAACACCCAACAAAAACACACAACGCCAAACAACAACAACGACGACGACGACACTAGCAGGAGCAGCAACAGCAACAACAGCAGCAACATCAACAACAGAAGAAGCACAGCAACATCAACATCATCAGCAGCAGCAACAACGACGACGCCAGCACCAGCACCAACAACAGCCTGGTTGACTTTTCGAGCTTGAGGTCTTGGGGTTCGGGTTGCGGGTTAAGGCGGAAGGTTTGAGGGTATTGGACATGGCTATCTTGGGTTTGGGTTAAGGCTGGTTGTTCGTCGACTTGGGGTTAGTTTAGGTATGTAGGGCTCAGGGTGGTACAAAGGTTGTAGGTTAGGGCTTAGGCCTAAGTTACAGTTCTCCGGCTAGGCCTTGGAATCTGCCAGGTTTTGGCAGCAGAGGACTTCGGACTCCGAAACTACAGTGCATGGCAACAGCAGGAGGGATGGCACCTGCATCCGACCGCGCTATCAGCTCCCAGGAAGCCTGCAGCGAGGAGCCGTGGTCCTTAGTTCCCATCAGTTTGTGATGACAGTCTACAGCCCTGCTCAACCATGTCGACTCCGTGGTTTTGCTCCCGACACTTCGCTGGGCAAAGCGTCGTGGCGGGCTAATGGAAAAAGGAGTGGCGAGACCCTCCGCACTTCCAGAGCCCTGAAAACCACAACTTCGCCGATCTCCGATTGAAACGGGGTAAGCCGTATGCTCCAGATATGGAAGCCTCCATGTGCTTCTGCGATGGGGACGGTTTTGACGGTTTTTTTGATGCGCTGCGCATCTGCGCATCGTTGACCGATTCTTCTTATCCGATTCTGGTTTGATCTGCTGAAGCCTCCTCCTTGGGCCAGCCCGGGTTCAAGGCATTCTGCTCAGAGCTGTGGCTCCCCAGCAAACGGAGCACTTGATCCAAAGCTTGAGTGCCTACCTTTGACTTTTCGGCAACGCGTCCCCGCACATTTGAAGCCGTCCCCTCAAGTGCCCCGGACTTCAGAAACCTTCTGGTTTCTCGCCTTCCGTCCTCAACCTTTGGCTAAGAAGCCAATGACACAGGGGGCTAAGTGCAGGTCCCATCGCATTTCACGCCCAATGTGTGCGCTGAGAGAATTCCGACATCACTCGGAGAAGGTCTGACGAGATTCGGGCCCCTCCCACGCTAGGGTTCATGCAGGAAGTTTGTTGTTTGCAAGGTGCTACTTCGGGAGGTGAAGCATCGGAAGCGAACGTGGTTGTATCTGGCACAGAATCTGTGGAAACTGAGGCTCCGAAGGACCTCTGGTTGAGAATCATGCCGTGCCATGTCTGAGGACTTGGGCTTGAACCGTCAGGATAGTTGAAGCATGTTATCGGCCGCACGCGCGCTTCGTGGGACGAACCCCTGGCCCCAGTTGTGGGGCACCATGTTGCTTTACCTGATCACTGTGCGGTGCCTCCACGATGCTTTGGGCGGTGTCTTTACTTACGTAGATCGATTTCAGGAAAGCACAAGGAAGCTTCTTCTTGGACAGGACTCCTCTTTTCCATCCCAGCTTTGGGTCTGGATCTGCAGCTAAACCCACCTGTACATGCTGCGGGCCTCTGTAGATCCATGCCACTCAGATTGACAATTGCCTTGGTTTGGACATGTTTGGACCGTAGCCGTCTTGCAAAAGCTGCTGAAAGTCAACCCTTGCAACCGCTGAATCCTGAAGCCACAGAGTAGCAAGTTCTAGCTCAGCCACTTTTGTTCCGGAGCGCTCGTTGGAAGCAATTGAGGAAGTCATCCGTGCCTCTGGCTCTGCAAAGCAAAGGTCCCAACCATTTTTGTGTCTAACATGGCCTCCCGCCACGACATGTCGTGCGGCTTCCATGCTCACGTGTCCATTGTACAGCCCGTACCATTCATTTGTCCCATCCTTCGCCTGAGCTAACGTCCGCTAAATATACCTCTCAGTTGATGCAGCAAGAGGCCTCGTGTGCATCATGTTTGAACCCGAGATCCTACATAGCATTCGGTGTCAAACTCTGAGTTCCCCCGCCAGACTACTACCGACCCAGCCTCAGACCGTGAAGGGTAAAGTGATGAATTGAGAACCTTTTTGGCTGCTTTGCTCTTGGGCGTCCCGGCAAGTGGTGGTGCAGTAAACATCGGAGGGAGGTGGTCCAACCTGAATCACTCAGGGCCGCGAAGGACGCGTGCGCTCGGGTTCAAGCAATACTCAAGAATCTAGGGTTAGGGGCTGCTTTGGGACGGGAGGAAGGGACACTTGTCTTCTTGAGGACTGTCTGATTCTCTACCACTGACGTTCTTATGACTACAATCTCCGCACTCGAGAAGGTCCATGTCAATAGCCTTAATGGAGATCATCCTGGCTGCAATTGCTCACAAGGTGCGGTGATCCGTGACAGGACACATCTTTTCGCTCTACCAATCGCAGCAGCGAAAAAAGACACTGGCGCAGCCTGAAGGCAGGTAGGTAGTATAGGGGCATACACAGCATGCCATGTGGCAGATGTATGCTGGTCGTATAGCAGAAACGGCGGATGCGATGTACGTTCGGCAAGTGCATTTCCCCGTGCTCCTTCCAAGTCTTGGGAGTGCGCAGACAAAGGCGGAAGATGCGTGCTTTGCACGAAATGCCTCAACCCGAAGGGACGAAAAGAGCCCAGGGACCTTGTCCAAGCAGTCTGAAAATACATATGCCCAAGTACATCTCACATCGAAATCACAAGCAATGTAAGGTGCTCTCTGCCCCTCCGGATCTTCAACGGGAGACAGGCTGTTCACAGCAAGCCCTCCGGAGAACGTCTGCCATCTGCACTCTGACACTCGGGTTTGCTGAGCCTTCTGCTGCTACTAAAAGAGGTGTTTGTCGGGACCCGCAGGTTTGTTCCTGCACAAACATGCGTAACCTTCCTCGGGGGCTTTCAGACAAACAACTCGCTTCAGCGACTTTAAACGAGCAGGGTCTGGTTGGCATCACTGCGCTGGGTGCTGCGGTCAACTGTCGCCCGGCAAATGCAGTCACGCTTGCCTGGCATTCGGGAATGAAGTGACACATGCGCCAGAAATTTCCAATGTAGATTTAATAGGGGGGTTTTAAGAAAATTAGGGACCCGCAATATAGATCCCCAAATAGTAGGATCCCCTTACAAAAAGGACCCCAGTAAGGTACCCCTTTTTTCGGAAACCCTCTTAGCTAATTATTCTTAGTCCATTCACGCCCCGGACCCTACCACGAGCTAGAGGGGGAGTTGAAGGTCTTGGTTACCCGAGATTCCGGGCCCCTTGCTGTAACTGTCTGGTTGGAAAGCAATCAAGCTTCTAGACTGGTTTACTGGCATATTTGGGGTTTACGATAATAATTCGTAAACTCTCATATAGTGTTCGGTGCACGCTTAATCCCCAAAAAGCCAGAAACCGGCTACGCTTCGCAGCGCCTCCTGCGTCGATCGTGCCGAAGCAGGCATCGTCCGGACAGCCAGCGCCGCGCAAACCCTTCCTGGTCGGCGACAGCTCTCTAGAATGTCCCGTGGCCCAGGTTGGGCAAGCCCTCAAGCCACAGATATGTAATTAAGCCCGAAAAGTGCTGCGAAGATGCAAAGGGAAATCTTGGAGAGAGATGTGCTGCCACCAGCTCTGAAACTTCGCACGTGTGATCTCACCATTGCGCCTCAGTGAAAAAAGGGAGCAACTCGGTCACAACCTACGCACAGCCGGCGCTGCCCATGAACAGATAAGGGCCTGGAGGAAGGGTCCTGACCAATTAAGAGCTAGTCCAAGGTGGTTCCTCAAGGATCCCCAAGTTCCCCTCCAACGCAACGGCTGTGGCTACCGGCATGATAATATGATGCCCAGGCTCACTTTGCGCTCCTCTTCGACCTGTGCCCAGACTTCCTTCCAAATCGCCAGAGTCTTCGCCTGATTGACTTTGGGGCTAGCAGCGGCTAGCACTGAGTTCGGAGCCCGCGTCCGTGAATCCCTCACGTCATGCTTAAGCCGTCTTAAGCCCATTCTTCGCATCGAACCTGCAAAGCCTTACAAAGCCCTGGGTTGCGGCCCAAAGGCTCCGCCCCCGTGCTGGGTGGCATTGGTCAAGCTCCAGCCGGCAACTGGGTCCTGCGCAGATCTGGGCTTCGGCTTGTCTTCCGAGTAGGTCTTTGCATGAAGTTGCGTGGCTTGGGTTAAGGCTGCTGTGGGGGCTGCCTAGCTCCAGGGCGATGACCCCGAACACAAAACAATGTCACGACAACTAGTTGCTAGAGGTTTGATTTAAAATTTGGCCCTCGGTTGATGTGCTTTCTTTGCAGGCCTAGCCCATTTGTAGCTCAACAGCTTCAGTTTTCGGGCATCCGAAAGCTGCCCTGCCCGAAAACTGACATAGGCATGCAGCTCGCGTCCAGAAGTCGAATGCCAGCTCCGTGCCAGAACTCGAACGGCTCCAGAGGTAGCCAGTCCAGGACCCTGTTAAGCACCAAATGTGTCAAAGCATGCGTACATGGCTAAAATTCTTCACTTTAAGCGCCCGCTCGTGAAGGGCACGAGTCTGAAGGCAAAGGCCTAAACTGAGTTCCGCATCGCCTGACTCTAAAGCTGCACCCAAAGCCTCCGTTCTTCCACGGGCCAAGGCCGGCTGTTGCCGAGCCCCCAGGCGAGAGGCACACCGTGACGCAGGCAGAAACTCCTGGTGGATGTAGGTGTCGCATGGTAGACAGGTGTGAATGCTGCAAATTCTCATTTATTCGCGGCTTTTGAGGGATTATGCGTTGCCTTTGCTTGACGGTCAATTGGCTTGGCTGTCAATCGTGTGTGGAACACCAAAGGTGAGAAAGAGTTCTGTGCAGCTCACGCGCAGCAGCTGCGAGCATGTAGGGTATGGAAACAAAGGACAGGGATGGAGCTGAGAACAGTAAGCACTATTATCAAGCCGTCACGTGGTGGCAGACTACTTGTTCTGGCTATGATGACGCACTCATGGCGCGAAGCTCGCGCCTCAGCTCATCTCCCAGCTTGGTGCCGAATAGTCCGGGAAAGCTGCCGACCAGCACCTCGTGTGCTTTGGGTGCACATGCTTCCCCTCAGGGCGGCCCACATTCGAACGTGCACGCAAGTGTGAGGCTTTGCTTGAGATCCGCCACGGCTTCCATGGGACTTTGGTACGTTACATGTGCAACTCTGTGGGCATGTCGGGCAGTAGCAGAACTGAATACGACAACTAATTGTCCTTGGCACACCGAAGCCCTGAGCCGGAGGAGAGACAGCACCTTGATGTCATCCACCACGAAATCGCCGAGCAGAGCAGCTTCCGTGTACATGTTGCCTGGCATTGGCTCTCTAGGGCAAGCTCCTCTCGATTGCGCGGCACAGGTTTGTTCGTCCCAGCCCCAGTAGGTCAAGGCTTGTGCACGCCTTCGATAGGTCGCACGTCGGCACCCTCCTCCAAGAGCTGATACCTCAGTTCAAGCAAATTTCGGGCTGGGGGTCACGGAGAGATGATATGGAGGGGTTGTGGTTGGCCATCGAACCTTGATGCCCCTCATGGGCGAAATCCAAACGCCCACCTCGAATCATCGCAAAGTCAATGCGCTGCCGGGTGACGTCAGCCGTGCCGCGCCCCCACCGACCTCGCGAAAACAAGAAGAGCAGGGTTTGGGCAGAGCCCAAAGAAAAGGCAAGACGAAAGGACACGTACGACATAAGGCAAAGAGGATGCGCCCTCGGCTTCGGGAGTGGTCTGGGCACATGGTGCACCTTGCAGATCTGAAGCCCCAGGCCACGTTCGATTTTTCGCGAATTGGGCCCCGGCAGTTCCAAAGCTGCGCACGTTGGCCAGGAAGCCTGGACTTTCCGAATTCAACTGTCTAACCCATGAAGTCCCAAGCCCTCCAGAACATGATACGAGTATCGTCCAGTCATCAAGCCGGACTTTCAACTTTAAACGTATGCAGTTTCCGAGGACCGCGTCAGTGCTTCAGGTGCTCCTTCGCAAAAAAAAAAAACAGGCCCAAAGTGAGCTGACTTTCCTCCAAAGCTCCGCCAGCCAGCTACTCAACTCGACCTCTCCCCGTACACAAACGCATCCAAACGCAAGCGCTCGTGCTGCGAAGAACGAATTTCTCAGAGGCCGGCTGTGAAGGTGCAGGTCCGGCACCCCTTGCGGGGTGGAGGCCACAGGATCGCAGTGAAGGCCTGAGCTTTGGCGCGCATGTAGGCCCTGTTTTGCTTCATCTCGACCCTAACGCTGTGTTTTAGGATATTTTAAGTCGTTCGCGAAGGGGCTTCTCCTACCTACATTCCCGCGTGGTGTGTTTTGGAGGGTGCGAGTGGTCTCAATGAAAGTAGCTTTGGGCCTTTTGGCTCTGAGCAGTTGTACCTCCCAAGCACGCCAATGACCTTACCCAACCAAAGTCCGAGCCCTTCTTGCTTCTATACCCCGTCGACGTGCACCATGCAATGCTTCAGAGTGCAAGCCAGGCGCTGAGCTCCTGTCGGGCTTTGCACAGTTGAGTGTTCATATGTGCTCTAGGTTCTGGGTCCAAGGTTTGCAGTTGGCAAAGTTGATACTTTGCTTCCCGCTTACTTGGCCTCCCCCGAATTGGGGGTGGTGCGGTTGGGCGTCTCAACTCTAGCTTGGGCACTCAGCATGGAAGCACAAGGCGACGCACCCCCACCAGGCCTAGATGCGTTAACCAAACCTCATGCCCAGCAGGAAAAAAGCATCAAGCGGCACCGCGCCAGAATCAAAGGTTCACTGGCTTGGCTGTGCTTTTTTGGTCGCTTTGGCCTTTGTCCTTCAGCAAGTTCTTGTGAAGTCACAGGCTCACAATGAGACGCTTGCATATACACTGGTTTGGTAGAGAGAAGTGATGAGCATAATCACAATCAAATTCCGGGAGCTGTATTTGGATTCTTCGGTTGTTCATTCTACTCACGTTGACCCGTCAAATCCCCCTTTCCTCCACGAGCTTCTCGATCCAGCTTTGCTTGTGCACAGGTGTCACGGACTTGTTGCAGCCAGACTCCCAGCCGCCGCTGTCCTCATGATCAACCCTAAGCCGGTTAAAGCCTTTAAGCTTTCATCTGGGCTCCTACCTTGATTCTTGGGTTTGAAGGGATTCGGGGGGGCTTGGTGGAATTCATTCGGACTGGGCCTTCTTAACCTCTGCCACGCATGCCAAACGCACTCCCACATAATGCCTGCAAGTTAAAGGGGTTTGCAAGGTCAAAGGGTCTGAGGGCTGAGACTTCTGAGTTGAGTTGAATGGGGTCATCCTCAAGCCCGAGCCCAAGCTGCTGTGCCCACGACCACGGCCCTGTGTCGCAACACGTCGCCCCGGAGCACCGCAGCCATGGCGCCATAGCCTCAGACTCTCAAGCTCTGGACACCTTGAACCCAAGGCTTGGCAATCCCAACCCCGGTTTGGGGAGAGCCTACATTTTCGGGCCAAGGGACGCTGAACTCCAAGGTCTAATTGCCGCATGTTGCCGGACAGATACCTGCACTGACAAAGCCGCAACAAGCAAGACCAAGCATGCATGCCACGGGCAAGCTCCAGAATTGGACCCTAACGCAGGAGGAAAGGGTGTAGTAGATGCCATGATGTGCGCACTGCGAAGGCCCTCGATCTTCACCCGAGCATTGCGAGATTTGCTGTCCTGTCAACCAGGTCCTTACTTGCTCCAAACCTGGCTGCAAAACCAAAGTCCGCAAATAGTCTGTGGACCACAACCCACATGTTAAAGGGGCGAGGCACGAACCCTCAGCTCCCCGAAGCACCCACAAACAATCGCATGCAACCTGCACCTTTTGCCCTCAGGATGGCCTGGGCCGAAGTCGGCTCTCTGTCACTGTGGGCGCGCCGAAGCTGTGGAAGGCTGGAAGGCCGTAGAGGCCTTTGCCCAGGCTTCGCTGGTTTCGAGCTGGGTCCAACAAGCAGTCCGATTTGGGGCTTTTGGTCGCGTAGGGCTTCGGGGTAGCGGCAGTCCCTGAGGCACAGATGCACTCAACATGATGATCATGACAAAAGTTGGGCAAAGCCACTTTGGATACAAGTTACAAGTCATCTGACTCAACTAGGCCAGTGTGAACCATTCGCGCAGGTATGACGTGAATGGTGGCAAAGATTTGTGAATCTAGGCTACATAGGCTGCTTTGCAGCTCATCACCGCTCTCGGCGTGACCAGTCTTGTGAAGCTTTGCTTTCAATGCAAAGGTCGTCTATGAAACCTTGCCTGGGCATCTTGGCCATGGCGACTACGGATGTCATCACTTTCGCCCCAAGCCCAACATCTTTTGGCTCGGAAAGAGTGACCCAAACCAGAAGCACCTAGCTGCGTGCGTGGCGCTGCAAACTGTTGCCCAAGCCCTGCAACAGCCTCCCTGCACCCAGAAGCCCTTAAAGCTCTGCCTTGCTCAGCAGCTTCCAGGATGCCTCGGCCGGAAGGAAACTTAGCCCCTTGTGGCCCTTCCAAGGGTGGGGGCCCCTGAGCCCTTGAGGCCTTAGGAGTCCTCAGCCGAACCAGTCAGTCCCCTTCCCAAAACCCGAGTGACCACGGTTGCGAGGAAGACGGGCATTTTGAATGTTAAAAAGCCGCGTGCAACTTGAAAAGTCCGGACATCCGTCTGAAGTACAAAACTGTAAAGGAACATTAACCTTTTAGAATCTGATTCTCGGAGACTTTCAAGGTTAAAAAGTCCAGACAAGTCTAATGATCCATAAAGGGCCGGGCTCGCATTTGAAGGCATTGGACAACACTGTGGCCTTTGAAGTCAAGATGTCTAACGACTCTGAAGATGCTAAGGTTAAGGGCCTTTCAATGCTTTAAATGCCCGGTAGTGGCTGTCGAAGGACATTCAGGAGAGTAGAAAAGGCGAGCTCCCTGGATTCCTTAACAACATTTATGGGTGACCCGTACTTTGAATTTTCCCAAGTAACTGAAACCCCGTACTAATTAGGAAAGCTGCTTTCAAAGTTTGCAAGCTATTGACCAACATGTCCTGTATAGGGTTTACGATATTAGGAGTGCCTTATTGGGGCCCGTTTTATATGGGGATCCGACTATTTGGGTGACTATATTCGGGGTCCCCTGATTGTCGTAAACACCCATATGACTGGCCGCGGAACCCCACTGCTTGCCCGAAACGTTGGCCACGAGGCTGGAGTTGAGAGCCTGGGCTTACAGGTCCGCAAGGAAAACCAACGCCGTTGCAACCCTTTTGAACCAGCCCCAAACCCTAAACTCTGAACCCTAAACCTGCCCTATACCCTAAACCCGCCCTAAACCCTCCGACCACGGGCTGAAGGCGATGCGGGAAAGTGCGAAGCGGTTCTGGGCCAGGCGACTTTGAGCTCCCAAATGCTCGGGAATCGCCCGCCGAAGGCATCCACCGTGTGTATGGACAGCCCCTCAGACTTGGATTTGGGCTCTTCAAGGTTCTGGCGTGAATGCTGGACGCCCTTCTTGGTTTTTTCTTATCCAAGTGCAATATCCCCCCCCCCCCAAGCAACAGAGGTTCCAGGCTCGAAGCTGTCCGAGGTTGGTTGGGGAGCTCTAGGAGCTGTCAAGCCGCAGATTCACCGGGGTGCTCCTTGAGGCTGTCGATGTCCAAACCGAAGTTTGTCACCCACTCGACTGATCGCAGGGCGTCCTCTTCTGGGCGGTGGGGATTGAGAGGTTTCACCGCTTCAGGGTACAGGACACCGGCCAACTTGTCTCAGTGCCTGTGACCTGGGACCTGCTACAGTGGCCCGGAAGTCCTGAAACCCTCACCGCCTACATCGAAAGATTGTATCCTAGACTCGACAGCCCGTGAATGGGGGCTCTTGCTCGAGCATGTTGGGCTTCGGCCTCGGGATGCCTTCGAGATACGTTTGGGCTGTCTTTGGATTCTCCCTGGAGTTCAGGTTCTTGCAAGAGCTGCCCCCTCGTCTCCTCCACTTCCGCCAGCAATGTGTCCGTGGGAAGGGAAGCCAAGCGCCTCCCTTTGCCACCTCCTGTCTCATGGATGCTGGGGGCCTTATGCTGGCATACGCCCTAAACAGAGGTGAAGGCTATGGAAACCGGGTTCCCACGGTTGGAGCGAACATGAGCTTGAGCGGCAACACTCGCCCATCATTTCTAGCAAACGAGCACTGCGCATATGCGGCATGTGGAGCAGGAGTGCAGAGGCCTCGAGCGAATGAACCGCAACGTGCACCATAGGATATCTTTATGCAGAAGCGCCGGTCGAAGCAAGAAGCGTGCAGAGGCTGGGAGAGTATGTCAGAGCGCATGTGGGAGCGCGCAGAGGCAAGAGGGAATGTGACAGAATTGCGGGGGCGTTCTGGTCGTCTTCTTTGGACAAACTTGTTCCGTTTACAGCCCCAGCTTCGACTATCTGCGACTGGTTGAGCCTGGTTGAGGTGGCAGGTGCTATCCCAATACAAAGAGCAGCAATAGGTTTGTGGTGTATGCCCGGCTGTCACGTCAAACGGGCCGACCTTGCAAAGCCAGCTCCAGCCGGAAGAGCCGCGAATCAAAGATATCCTTGGTTGCGCGGTGCGCCCCGAGCGGGTCTCTTTGTTTACGAGGAAGTCTTGAAGTCAGAACACGAGCGGCACAATACTTGTCGCAACTCAATACGCTGCAACCTCGCACCCCAGACTTTCGAGATCTAAAAACCACGAGCTCGCTTCAACGCCCTTCCTGTGCATTCCCCTAACATTCAGCACCCGCTCCTAGGCCTCCCCAAGCCCAGGGCACCAGCGACAGCACGCCCAAAAACCCACTCACAAGACCTGGCACTGCCCCGATTCAGGCCAACATTGTTGGCACACCTGTAAAGGGCCAGAAGCCCACTCTGGCCAAGCAGCAGACAGTGCCTTTGCTGCTTCTTCGGATGCGTTCCGGGATGCAGCCCGCGCTCTGTCGACGACCTGTGGGGCTGGGGCTGACGGACCCTAATCTAGGAAACGACCCATACCTCTGCTGCTGGCTACTGGGTATTGTATTGGGAGCTTCCAACGCCCAAAGCGATCAAGGCAGTGCCTGCTGCAGTGCCGGATCAAGGCCCCAGGCAAGGCTGAACCTCGCTTGAAGATCTTTATTGGAGCTTTAGATGCTGGAGTTCATATGCCTATTGATTGTGAAGAAATAGTGAAGAAGCATCACTTCGTCCCTCAATGCAGGCTGAATGCTGTGAAGAGACTTGGCACACATGAGAACCCCCCCCCCCCCCACAAACCTCCAAAACCATAAACCCTAAACCCTAATAAACCCTGAACAAAGCTTCAACATGCAGCTTGGCCACCCCAGGGTGATGAAGTGCCACGCAGCCATGGCAAGCGGCTGCGGAAAACAAATCTTCTCCCCGATCTTGTCCCTTTGATTTGCGGCTGGACAGATCTTAACATAAGAATGCCCCTTCATGCGATTTCTCTTCGCACCTTTTAACCTTCCAACATCTTCGACCCCTGCACTTGCAAACCCCCCTGGAGCCAGAACGGGCGAAGGCCAAGCCGGGGAGCATCACAAAAAGTTTAGGGTTAGGGTTTAGGGTTTAGGGTTTAGGGTTTAGGGTTGAGGGTTTAGGGTTTGTCTGGAGGAGGAGGGTCGAGGGGGCAGGAAGTCAGTACCTATTCCACTTGACCTGATTGGGAGGGATGTGTCGGGGTGCACCCGAACTGTCACATGAGATCATGCATTTTATGGGTACGGGTTGGGTGGTTCCCATTTTACATCTACCGGGGCCGGGACTGCAGGCTCCCGGTGCCGGGCACCTATTTCGGCCTTCCCTTGTTCTGGTTGCCTTTTTTTGTACTCGTCCTACGTAGACTCCAGCACTCTCCTAGACATGCAGTTGTAATACGATTCGAGGGGTATGGAGTTGGCCATTCGCATCCTGGGCCCTCTGAGCTGGGTGCACCCGCGAAGCGGCAGGGCTCATCACAACCTGCCATCAATGGACCCGGGGATGGTCTGGGGTTTAATGTTGACTTCACATTAGTGGATCCACCCGCAATTGTAAAATCCCGCTGCCGGAACACAATAGTGTAGCCCGCCACAATTGTAAAATCCGACCCGGGAAATCCGGTTTTTACGGGCGTGGTGCTACTACCTAATACTAAAGCTAATACTACGTCCTACCAGGATTTAGGCGAACAGTATTGAGGAGGCCCTGGCCGGAGAGATTGATCAATGAAGGGGGGGGGGTTTATTAATGCGAAGTCAACATTAAGGGGTTCGGGAATCGAATCGCGGGCTTGACACAAGAACGGATGATCATGTGAAGGGTTGTAAGGATTCTAGGCTTCGGGGGGTTGGGGGAGCCGCGCGTCGCTTCCTCCTGCAGCAGCTTCTCAAGGTCGCAGATTGGCACTCTGGGTTGGGATGATTGTGAACCAACACATGCGAGATTTGAGGGCGTACGCTGGGCTGAGAATCGACTTGCCTGTCTAGCAAGCACCTGCCCCTGGCTCGACCAAGTGTGTCCAAAGGAGTTTTCGAGGCCCTGGCGGCTGCAGCAGGCAAGCGCCGAATACAAGTCCGCCAACGTCGCGGAGGGCGAATCTTGCGGCGGGGGCTTCATTCCGAAATGAACCCAAACCCCCCAAGGCCGTAGAGGTTTCGAGCTTGTGTCGTCCAGTCACACCGTGCAAGCTCCTTAAGACTCCCATGTGCACCATGGTCCAAACATATGCAAGGAAAGGAAGTGCGGCCTTTCAGGGCAGCGTCCAGCTTCGGCAGGTGCTGGACTACGTCCTCGTAGCCTTGCGCCTGGTCGCCAAGGTGCCGATGGACAAGCCGGCAAAGGTTGCAGGGTGATGTCCGAAATGGTACGGGCATTTGCAACGTGGGTCCAAAAGCTTAGCGCTTGGGCCCTCAGACCCGACACCCTCTACACCAGGGTATGGGGTCGATACGCATATCGCTTTTTCCGGGATTGCTAGCGATCACCACTCACAGAATACGCATTGGAAGGAACACTGCATGAAGAAACAGATGCCTGATATAGGAAGCACCATAGCTTACCAACCGCACACACATACACACAACATGAGGACTCCTGTTTCACAGATCGCAATAGCACGATTCTTTACAGGGTGCGGTGCGCGTACTACACGTGTGTCATTTGCACCAACACCGCCCCGACAAAGGGACGGGGTGAAACGTGCATGGCCGGGGGGCTTTGGTACCAGGGTCCGAATGGCTTTTCAGTACATGTGCGCAGCCTGCGGGAGACAAAGCAGGGTTTTTTGCGTTTGGGTAGACACAACAATCATGGGCCTGGCTTCATGCATGCTCGAAACCTCTGAAGTTTTACATTACCACTCAGATTCCACTAGAAGGCATAGATAGTGTCAACCGGGTCAAGCAGGTCCCGGCGCTGGACAAGTCAGGTGACATGAAGCCCCAGCAGCCCATCCTTTTCACCCGCCGCGCTCGATCGGCTCTGCGCCATGCGCTCCGCCTCCTCTCGTCCCTCTCAGTCTCTCTGTGTCGACGGCGGCGGCATCAGCACAAAGAAGTGGTCCAGGAGCAGCGTGGACAGGAGCTGGTCTTCCGCCCGCAAGCTCAACTCAAGTTCTTCGCCCAAGGCTGCGACGACGCGCTTACAGTTTTTAACGCAATGGAAGGGATGAGAGTTCAGCCAGGAACTCCCCCAGGTTCGCCTGGTGCCGGTTCAGTTCGCAGCCACGTCCTGAGATGCAGACTTGATGCTACATTCTCCGCCAGACCTCATGACTGACTAAACCTGCAAAGATCCTGCAAGATTACGACGTTCCCAAGAGCAAGGACTAAAGCTGCTCTCAGAGAGTCATGGCCACGTACTTCGTGGCAGCGCTTTGCAGCGGCAGTGCTTGGCGGGCGGCGCGGGCCTCTGGACGCCCTTCCCGGTCCGTGGTGGGCCAGACCAGGGCCCGGCCAGGTGACAGCGGCACCTGGGGGAAAAGCACAAGCCCTTCAGGGCTCATACTGTATCTATCTGCATTGCGTACGGTATTTTGCGTGCAAGCTTTCATCATCCGCACCTGCTTCCCGTCACCCTCCTCCAACAAAGGGAAGAGGAGGTCACCGCCAGCTCCCTCAGGCAAAGCCCCCAGCAAAAGCATCACCGTGGCCAGGCGCTGCCCACTCAGCCAGAGGCTGGAGTCATGCCTAGGCCTGGCATCCACGTGCGCGCCGAGAGCCCCCTCGCCTTGTCGGTACCTGTGGCTACGTCTATGTGTGCGTGCATATGACACCCAATGACGCCCAGAAGAACACGACTGTAAGGTTGTTTTGGCAAAATCTAACAATCCACGGAGAAGGCATCTCCCGATTGAGCGCACATTCCACAAACCCGATTAGGCCCCCTAGATGGCCTAGAATTTCCGGACCTCCATGCTCACCCCACAACCACCACAGATTCTTGCCCCAGGCACCGGATCAAGCGCACTGCTTCCACGTTCTCCACAGGCGCCTGGAACAGCTCCGCTGTCCACTGCCTCAAGGCCCTGCCCGCAGGATGTTGTCGGTGGTCTGGAGAACCTGAGCAGAGCACTGAGGCCTAAACACCTGACACCTTCGAATCTGGGCTTCGGGTTGGGGACCAACGCCGGCAACTCCAAAGCTCTCCCCCAAGCCCGACCATGCAGTGGAGCGGATGCTGCGAGAATGGAACATACTACATCTGCTGTTGCCCCGGTAGACAAAGCCCCTCACACTTGCATGCATTTCTTCATCCGAGGCCATACCATCACCCCAAGCATTACATCCACCACCGCAACCTGCGGGTCGGTCGAAGTGCTCAAGCCTCGCGCCCTAATCTGCCCTGCAATTCAGAACCCTGGGTCCCTGAAGTCCATTTGCCTCAAGCCGCTGACTCAACATGGACAACTCGACTCTCTACCGCACATCCCACACCACACAAGCATCCCAATCCCAAGTCTCAACTGCCCTCTGCCACGGTACTCAGCAGAGCTGTCCAGGGACAGCCCTCAACGGCGCCGCCAGGGCTGCCGTCACCAGCACTGCGCCGCGCAGATGGGCGCCAAAGGTCGTTCCTTTTTTGCTGTTTCTGAGGCCTTTGGGCTTTAGGACCTAGAGGCGAATATTGAGGCACGTGGAGCTACAACCGAACTGATGTCAAGGCGCTCATTGGCCAGCTGGACCAGTGCTGCCATCTGGTCCTCCGAAAGCACCTCCCCAGCTTCCACGATGGGCAGGGGCCATCCAGAGACCAATCTGTTCCTGTGAGGGTTTAGGGTTTAGGGTTTAATGTTCCAAGAGATTTCGGGGTTGTTCCGAGCCCTGCTTGGGCTCTGCAGCCTCAGGCTCCCCCTGAAAGCTTCTTGGCTACTTGTGTCAGTCTCGTATCTGCATGCTCGCGCTCAAGCCTTGGTGGACAAGAAGTTTGTAGGCATCTTTCCTGCAGCTTAAGTTCCTCTGCCCCTCCCCCCCCCCCCCCCAACTCAATGCTGAAGATGCTTCTGAGACTTGGAGGCCACGGATGAACAGGACGACCACACATGCTCGGCCAAGTCCACGGGCACCTGTGTGGGAGCACGATCTGCTCTACTGGTAGCTGCCTTCAGCCCCATGGTCGCCTTCTCGCTTCGAATCCCTCAGTGGTTTTTGGTGAGGGGGGGGGGTTTCCTTCTTTAAAAGTGGCGCGGCTTAGGGTTTGCTGCGAATCTTTCTCTGGCCGGGGGTTTCAAAAAACTGATAGCTGACGCGAGTCCCCTCCACTCACCCCCCCCTTCTGCCTCTGCCGGCGGTGCTCCGAACACCTCCGGCATCGGCGAACCGCCCTCGGCGCAAGCCCAGGCTAGCCTTGGTGTCGGAGATTTTTACTGGGAGATGTGGGGCTTGGGCTTCTCTCCAGCTTGAACTACCTTCGTGAGTGTCTGCATGTGTCTGCGCAGGGCACGCGGAGATTCCGTGTGTGGAAAGGAGGCATGAGGAGGCAAGGCCTCAGATGGCACATGGGGCCGAACGATTTAGCCTTTAAGGCCAATTGCCCTGACAGACTTTGGTCTCCTGCGCTCTTAACAAGCATGCGTCACCTGAATGCAACGCAGCTGGGATATCTCACAGTGGGACGTCGTTTGCCACGGGTGAAGATTGGCGGGGACAATTCTTCGCCTTTGAAGTAGGAATGGGCAGCACAGGCAAGCGCCGCAAACTGATCAGTGGGCGTATACGGACGGCTACGCCACACTGGAACTCGCGAACAGGATGCCAGCACCTCTTTACGCCAGAACATGGTGACACCTGGGAAGAGGTGTATGGTGTGCGTTTCCTGTGTTACTCTCTGGGGCAGCCCACAAGGGGACTGTTTTTCCGGTGCCCCTCGGCGACTGCTCGGAAATAACCGGGCCCGGGCTGCGGGGGAATGGCTCCTGTTAAAAATCGGGATCGTCTTAAACAGGGCCAGATTTGGCTGCTAGAGTCTGTTGGGTCAGGGCAAGGAGCTACCGCCTTCCATCTTCTTTGAAAGATCTCCTGCGCATCCTCTTGGACGGAAGGACCAGCAGGACATAGATTCGCCGATTCTCTTGTAGAATATGTGCTGCCCTCACGTGACACAAACAAGCCCTTGGACTTGAACCGCGTGCAAGGCGAAAACGTAACATGACGTTTGCAGTCTACACGCATGCTAGAAGCAAGCTGTCACCCGCCAGTGGGTTCAATCCCACAGCCGATGGTTTAGGCTTTTTTGTTTGGCTCATTGGCTCAAAACTTCAACGTTTGGGGGTTTGGAAGTCGAAATTGAACCTGAAGCCCGGCAGCAGTCGCAACACTATCCCGGGCAGGTTCGTCAGATAGGTCTGCCTGAGCTGAGGCCAGGCGACCGGATTCTACTGCTCTTGGCCCCTCTTCTGACTAATGTGCACGATATTCGGGGGATCTGTTGAATGACTTGCAAAGCCCAGACTTCGACTCAATGCCCTTGGACACACATAGGCCCTAGGGGTGCGATTCCGATGTTGGGCCTTGCCAACCCAGCTTCCATGCAGCCTCATCCCTTTAGACCAATTTCTGGCTCGTATACACCCATAGTGGTGCGAGCACCTCCTAAGAAGGCACGGTGGTTGTGTTGTTCGTCAGTGTTTCAGCTCTTAGCTTTCGGAGTCACGCCGCAGTTCAATCCCCCAGCATCTGCAACTACATTCCACTTCTCATCTCAGCCCACAGGACATTATCGCCCGAGCCACAGTCCCTCCTTGAGGGTCAGAGTGCACTGCTTCCTGGGCTTGGAGGTGCATTTTTGCGACTGTCGAGGGCTGTGGAACTCTCTGGCGCATTCGGGAGAGAGAGAGGGAGAGAGAGAGAGAGAGAGAGAGAGAGAGAGAGAGAGAGAGAGGGCGAGGGCGAGGGCGAGGGCGAGAGAGAGAGGGAGGGAGGGAGGGGGAGGGAGGGTGAGGGAGAGGGAGAGAGAGGGAGAGAGAGGGGTAGAGAGGGATAGAGAGGGATAGCGGGGAGAGAGGGGGAGGGAACGGGAGGGAGGGGGAGGGGTGGGGAGGGAGGAGAATGAGAGGACGCACGGAACCACATAGCTCAAGCCCAACCTGCCCGAAGTCCTGGAGATCTTCAGACTGTGAAGGATTTAGCCATGGTCAATCAAGGGATTTCGAACTGAAGGCTTGACCAGCTTACGCGTTGATAGGGGCCTTGTAGGGTCCACGCTTTCAGGGGATGCTCATGTTCTGAACCCTCAACCCTATCGTGAGTTAACTGCCCTGGAGTGGCGAAACGCGCTGCATGGCCAGGGCAAGGGCAAAGCCGAACTC